CTCCGTACTTCTATCTAACAAGATACACCTCTCCTTTTTTTTTTGAGATAGAGTCTTACTCTGTCGCCCTTAGGAGAGTGCTGTGGCATCACACTCCACAGCAACTTCAAACTCTTGGGCTTAAGCGATTCTTTTGCTTCAGCCTCCAAGTAGCTGGGACTACAGGTGCCCACCACAATGCCCGGCTATTTTTTTTGTTGTTGCAGTTGTTTGGCTGGCCTGGGCCCGGGTTCCAATTTGCCACCTTCCGTGTATGTGGCTAGCGCTGTAACCACTGTGCTATGGGCACTGAGCCACACCTCTCTTTCTTATAAGAAATTCTCACCCTTCCCTCAAATGCAGAGACAGACAGTCCCATGAGTCACAGTGAAGAAATGGAAGGACAATTCCAGGCACTGGGCTGGGTGCTTTATACATATGAAACGCCCAGCTCCATATCTATGTTTTGAATGTTGGGCAGATTTGCAAATGCTGCTCTGGGAAATTATAGTTTGTTTGCGAGGAGGAGGTATCCCACGTTGAACATTGTAGATGGCAATCCAAGGTCATCAGGGTAAAAGAAAACCACCCCTGGTCTGTTGCATCCAAAACAAAGCCCCCCAGAGGACAGGCTATCTAGATGAAGATGTGCTTTTTTGTTATAAAAGCAAAAACAACTCCTCAGCAATGGTAACAAAGGAGAAAAAATCTTTTGCATTGGGCCAAGACAACAGGATACAAAATCACAAGTGGATTGCCTCCAAGCCTGTCTCCATCTCCTCCAAGGGCAGAGGTCAAAGGTCACAAAGCTCACAGTTGAAGCAAATAAGCAATTGCGTAAACTTACCTAGAAGCCCTATAAATTTGATTAAAACCTAGACTTTTATTTTGCTTTTTAATTTTTTTTTTTTTGTTGTTGTTGTTGAGACAGAGTTCTACCCTATGCCCTGAGCAGAGTGCAGTGGTGTGGTTGCTCACTGCAAACTCCGACTCGGGATGTGGGCATCCTGCTGCCTCAGCTTACGAAACTACTGGGATTACAGGCACCCGCCTGGATTTTTCCATTTTTTTAATGAGTTGGGGTCTCACTCTCGCTCAGACAAACCTCGAACTCCTGAGCTCAGGCAATCCTCCTGCCTCAGACTCTCACAGTGCTGGGATTACAGGCATGAGCCACCGTGCCACGCTGCTTTTTAATTTTTTTTTTTTTTTTTGAGACAGAGCCTCAAGCTATCCCCCTGGGTAGAGTGCCATGGCATTACAGCTCATAGCAACCTCCAACTTCTGGGCTCAAGCAAGTCTCCCGCCTCCGCCTCCCAAGTAGCTGGGACCACAGGCGCCCGCCACAACGCCCGGCTATTTTTTGGTTGCAGCCGTCATTGTTGTTTGGCGGGTCGGGCTGGGGATTCGAACCCGCCACCTTAGGTGTACGTGGCTGGCGCCTTAGCCGGTTGAGCTATAGGCGCTGAGCCTTAATTTTTTTAATATAGCAAAAGGCTTGCTTTAGTGACATGCTATTCCTGCCAGAAAATGACCCCAATATGTGTATTCCCTCTGTCAGTAACATGCTCCTTTTGATCAACTCACTCATTCTAAACCTGTGTGTGGACAAGTATATGTATGTTGTGAAACAGAGCGATGGGGGCCAAGTGACTGCTGGTTAGCCTGCATCTGCCTATCAATTAGCCAATGCCCAATTCCTGCAGGGGAAGTAGTTAAAAGGACATACTTCTCTCTACACTTATTTCCTTTACTTTAGCACCCTGTGACCCAGATGGATTTCACCATTAGAAACACATAGTCCACACACCTACACATATAACTTTTTTTTTTTTTTGCAGTTTTTGGCCGGGGCCGGGTTTGAACCTGCCACCTCTGGTATATGGGGATAGTGCCCTACTCCTTGAGCTATAGGCAGCACCAC